GCAGCAGCAGCAGAAGAGGACAGCAAGCTGCTGCTGCTTGTGCAGGGCTTGGAGGCCGTGGGTGCGCAGCGGCTGCTGCTGCTGCTGCAGCGCAAGGTGACTGCTGCAGCAAAGACAGTTGTTGCAGCAGAAGCAGCAGCAACAGACAGGGCCCAGCAGCAGCAGCAAAAGCAGCAGCGAACGAAGAGGCAGCGCGCTGCTGCTGCTGATTTGGTTTCCGTGGGAGGCCGAGGATGGAGAGTGAGTTTTGCTGCTGTTCAGCTGCTGCTGCTGCGGCTGTTGCGTGGCTTCAGTTGCTGCTGCTCCTGCTGCTGCTCCTTTGCTGCTGTTGGTGCTTCTGCTGCTACTTGCTGGCCGTACCGGTTGCTGTTTTGCTGCTGCTGCTGCTGCTGCGGCTTTGCAGCGTCGTGCTGTTGCTGTTGCCTCTGCTGCTGCTGGTGATTATTACTCCTGTTCTCCGCGGGCACTTAGTGCTATGCTGCTGCTGCTGCTGCTGCTGCTGCTGCTGCTTCGCAGGAATTGCTGCAGAGTTCATCTGTGCGCCGCGAGGAGCTTTTGGGAGTCTACGACAGCTTCTTGCGTCTCATGAAGGCCTGCTGCAGCACCAGCAGCAGCAGCGCCACCTCAGCAGCAGCAGCAGCAGCAGCAGCAGCAGCGCATCGGCAGGCGTGGCGGCTGCTGCCACCACTGGCACTGTTGTCTGCAGCACAAGTCCCTGGACCTTTCGTCGCGCACGCGGTGCCCCTTGTGCTGCAGTCTCTTGCTGCTGCTGCATCCCTGCAGCAGCAGCAGCAGCAGCAGCAGCACGAGGAGCTGCTGCAAGGCATGGTGGACAGCTGCAAGCTGCTGGTGGCTTTGGGGCAGCGCGTGGAGCGAGCCCTTGCTTGTCGCATTAACGAGCTGCTTGCTGCTGTTCTTGCTGCTATTCAGGCGGTTACAGCAGCAGCAGCAGCCGCAGCAGCAGCAGCAGCAGCAGCAGGTGGCAGCTCTGCTGCTGAGCTGCTGCGCATGCAAGAGGCTCTGCACGCAGGGCTGTGGGCCCTTGTGTGTCTTTGTGGCCGCCACGGCAGCCTCCTCCTGAGCCAGCAGCAGCAGCAGCAGCAACAAGTGGACCTGCAGCAGCAGCTGCAGCGGGAAGTGCTGCTGCAGCCGCAGCTGTGTCTTCTCGCGGAGCTGCAGCGGCCGCCTGAGCTGAGGCTTCTTTGCTTAGGAGATGCTTCGGAACTAGCAGAAGCATTTACACAAAGTGAGAGGCACAGTTTGCTGCTGCAGACTTTGGGGCTGCAGCAGCAGACGCAGCAGCAGCAGCAGCAGCGGCGCCGCCAGCAGCTGCTGCTGCGGCTGCCAGCAGACCCCATGCATGCGCTTGCTGCTACCCTTCTCACTGCAGCAAAACCTGCGGCGCTGCTGCAGGCCGTGCTGCCGCAGCTGCGCGCCACTGGGGCGCGCCTCGCTGCTGCCATCAGCAGCAGCAGCAGCAGCAGCAGCAGCAGCAGCAGCAGCAGCGTGGGGGTGGCTTCGTTTGAAGTGTCTAGACAGCTGGAGCTGCTGGCCATGGCTGTCAGCTGCCTCTCTCTGGCGGAGGCGCAAAAGAGACAGGCAGCGCTGCAGCAGCTGGCGCTGCTCGCAGTGAACCTCGTGACTGCTGCTGCAGCACAGTTTGACGAGCAGCAGCAGCAGCAGCAGCAGCAGGAGCAGCAGCAGCAGCAAGAACCCGCTGCGGGCAAAGCTTTTGTGGAGTTCTACGGGGGGCACATAGACGAGACCCATGCGACTGCTGTGTGGGGCTCAAGCAGTGGATCAGCGCTGCAGCAGCAGCAGCAGCAGAAGCAGCAGGATGAAGCAGCAGCAGCAGCAGCAGCACTGGCGCCGCCACCGCGGTCATACATTTGGAGAATGGAAGCTGCTGCTGTTTCCTTCGTTTGCTGCTGGGCGCTGAAGCATGACATGCAGCAGCTGCGGGAATACCTGCAGCAGGTGCTGCAGCTGCTTCGCTTTTCCAAGCCGCTGCTGCTGCAGCAGCCGCAGCAGCAGCAGCAGCAGCAGCAGCAAGCACTGACAACGCAAGAAGCAGGAGGGGCCCGACTGTATGCCCTCATTGTCACGGAGCTGCTGCGCTCTTATGGGGAGGCAGGAGCAGCAGAAGGGCTGCTGCAGGACGCAGCAGCAGATCTTGCTGCTGCTGTTGACGCAGCAGCAGCTGCTGTGCACAAGCAGCAACAAAACATAGCAGCAGAAAATCGTAGCCGCAGGAAGCAAGTAAGACTCTGGCATCATGGCTCTTCCGCCTGCTGCTGCTGCTGGCTTTGCTGCTGCTACTGCTGCTGCTGTCTAGGCTGCTGCTGCAGCTGCTGCTGCTGCTGCAGCTGCTGCTTCTTTAGCCCAACACAGTAGTCACATTTCTTAGAGTAAGTGCAGCTGAATAAGTGCTGCAGGGTTTATATGTGTCCGCTGCTGTATACAGAAGCAAGCCGCAGCAGTAGACAGCAGCAGCAACAGC